CATGGTTTCAGCTTCAGTGTGCTCTGAACTCTCACTGTTACACCCTGATATTATAACATATAAGTGCCTGAGCTGAAAGGTTACTTTAGACTATCTCCCTGGCCCCTGGGGGGGATATATGACACATACTGTTGTGTATATCCAAGAGGTGCTTCCATGTTTCCTCTCTACAGTAGCTATGGGGAAATTGTCTATTTTTAGGCTTCCCAATAAAAAGAAGTGAGATAAGGGATAAAAGGGGGCCCTTCTGAAGCTTTAAGTGCTTGCAGGAACTAAAGACGTTGCAACTACAATATATCAGTCAATAAATCTCAACTCCTATGGCAGTATTCTACCACCACTGTCATATTATCCCTCAGATCAGTCCTCTTTCAGAGGCTAAATTGCTACCACCGTCTAGCATATTAACACATGAGAGGCTGAAAGAGAATCACAGAATCACAGAATGGTTGGGGTTGGAAGGAACGTCTGCAGATCATCTAGTCCAATCCCCCTACCAAAGCAGGTTTGCCCAGAGCAGGTTGCACAAGGTCATGTTCAGGCGGGCTTTGAACACCTCCAGAGGAGGACACTCCATAGCCTCTCTGAACAACCTGTTCCAGAGCTTTGTCGCTCTTGAAATAAATAAGGTTTTCCTCATCCTCAGGTGGAACTTCATGTGTTTCATTTTGTACCAGTTGCCCCTTGTCCTGTTGCTGGGCACCACCAGAAAGAGTCTGGCTCCATCCTCTTGAAATCTGCCTTCCAGTTATTTGTATGCATAACCTAAGAATCTAGAACTTCTATTTTGTTTGTGTAGACCTGACAGTGGCAATTCACAAAACACAAGTGGAGTGATGGGCATGCAGAAGCATGTACTCTCCTGATTTTCATTTTTCATCCTAGTGGATGAAAAATCCACTAGGACTTTCTTCTTTCATCCTAGTGGATGAAAAATCTGCAAATGAAATTGAATTATCCAATAGAGTCAGCTAACTATGTCACCCTTGGGCTGCAGAGGTTTTTGAGTTTTTGCAAATCTACAGTCTTTTCTTTTTAAAGAATGACTATATGGAATAGGCAGAAAACCATATTATATTGGTACTTCTCATTATAAGTTGTTTTAAGCAATGTGTTTTAAAGAAACTATCTAAAAAAATTAAAAGGGAATTTTTACTAATGCTTTTTCTAGCTTAGCTAACAGACTCCCTTCAACTTCAGTAGTGGATCTGCATGCTCTAGGACCTATGGCACTGCGTTGTTAGTCAATGTATAATGACATTCTGACCTGAAGGAGTTGGTTTTTTTTCCATCTGAATTCCCCAAAAGTAACTCTGCCATTTGGTGCTGGGTATAAACAGAGGTGTGTGAAGGAGCAGCTGTGTAAAGATCTGGATGTGTCTGCAAAGATCGTATGGATGTGGCTTCTGGCATGGAGGGGTGTCTGGGGTGCTGAGAATTTGCCTGGCATCCCTAGCTGTGGTAGGCATTGCAGGGATGTACAGCCCTTAAAGCAAATCAACATGGTCACCCATTATCACATTGCTGTGTCCATAAAAATGAGAAACTCATCACTGCAGACTTTTTGAGGCTACTTGCTGTTCCGTTGTTTGGACTGTCTGTACAGGTGCATTTTCCTACACCAGATGTCTCATCAGGGCAGAACAGAGACGTAAACACAGCCTACTTGTAGAGTGGATATCTGTCATTTTCTTTATTCCCTTATTTCATACTACTTGCTTTCTCTTCAGCTGCTGATACAATTTTCAAAGGCTGAAGCCCTTAGGCTGTTGGTGTAATCAGGAAGGAATGATGTCTCACTAGTGATTTTTATTTGTGTAGTTGATAATTACTACCTACAGCACCTCCTGAAGTCTGCTGGCTTTTTGTGCCTTGCAGAAGTTCTGAGAAAATGGTTGGTAAAAGGTTTGGAGATGGGACTCTAGGCAAAGTTAAATGTACAAATAGGCTTCTAGAGTCTTCATCTATATTTTATGTATTGCGACAATTCTCAAATTCTTCATCTTAGGATAGTACAGCTCCTGTGTACTGGGTACCTCACAAATGCAGAACAAACCAAGATGCTCTTTCTTGATGTATTTACCACCCAGGAAGATAGATTTTCCTTCTTCATTTTTCTATCACTTTAATTGAGAATTTTAAAGAATAAGTAAAGGATACACCTTTAAAATTGGTGCACAGATTGGAATCATGCTCAAGTAACCTGTGCAAATTCAGTGGTACTTATATACCCCAGTGGACAACTGCCTTGGTTTAAAGCTATTCATTTCTAATAGACTTTCTCTGACTTATAACTGCTACAGATTTTGCCCTTGGAATGAATCTAGTCTGTGCTAATGGCTGAGATTTAAAAGGAGCCTACATATATTATTTTCCAAAATCGCATTACATTTTAATAAGATTTCTACTTCTAATGTACTGTGGTCTCTCGAAAAGCTCAGCTTGAATTCCCAATTTCCACACTGCTACAACTAAATCAGCTCTGTGGCAATTTCTTCCAGAAAGCTCAGTGTTAATTTTTATTTTTGTTAGCAGCTCCTCTCCTGCATTTCAGTGGTTTAGGACTTTCTTCTTTGTTGACTTGTTTTTGTGCTTCGTGTTTTTTTTATCATCCCTGCTGAGGATATCTCCAAATATAGAGTGACACTCATACCTGACACCATGAACATGAAAATTGATGAGTCACAGCCGCTCCAATTTCTCACCTGCATCAGCAATGGAGAAATATCTTGCTAGGAATAACCATGTTCTTTATAGTCAGTTTTCCCCACTCCTATCACCCTGAGTTACAGACGTTTTCTAAACTGAACATTTACAAATGCAAAAAAAAAAAAGGTTTCAAGATTTAAATAATAAAGAGACAATCAAGGCACACTGTCCATCAGCCATCACCAGAGCTGTCTGTCTACTTGGCCTTTTTCAATCAATTGGAATCCTATTTCCCTTTGATCACCAACCATAGGTGGGATGCAGCCATGAGATGGAGGAGGATGCTGCAAAGTCTGATAAGACTATTGCATCTCACAAGCACTACATGCAGTAATATTACCAGGGGTAAAAATTCTTATACTTCCTTTATGTTCCCCTTGTATCCCTACCAATTTGCCAGGGAAGTTGTTTCCAAATGTTTTGAGGTAATAGGCTGTGGTCAACCTGTAATGTATTTCTCACAGGATCTCCAACACTTCATAACCAGACTTAGAGTGTGGAAGTTGGGGGAGCTGGGGAAGATGTTGTGCCTGGGAGCACCAAGGTTTATGGTGGCCTCTTGCTATTATGTTCACTGGCACTCTTCAGGAGTTAATGCCTGGGAGATAGAGGGGGGAATTTTCAGTTGAAGTGGTTCCTCTTGCAGTAGGGGAGTGAGAGTAGAGTTCACAGCACATAGGACAGCAGATCTGTCCATCTCTTTGGAAGCAAATTGTACCTGTGAGAATTTAACTGGTGTAAAAATCCTCAACAACAGCCTCTTCCAGGGAATCTGTTTTCTCTCTAAAAGTTAGTTGTCTTTAGCAGTTATTCCTGTCTAACTGCCAGAGAACCTTTGCATGCATCCCTTGTTTTGAATAATATGATAAAATGTATGGGCAGCTCAGGTTCTGTTGTGCTTGCAGCATCTTTGATGAATACACATACAGATAGATGCTTCTTGTATTCATTCTGAAATATTTCAGAAATCTTATCTCACCGGGAGACACTGGTTTCCTCAGAAACACTCAGCTGAGCACTTCTCAGTGGGATGTTGTCAATGCTTCAAGTTATGATGCTTGGCTCAGGGCTCTGCTCAGCATTGTGTGGCCTGTAATTGACAACAGCTCTGTTCATGTTTCACCAAGATTTCTTTTGCACTAAGGGCCTTGTAACGTGAGGGGAACAGTTCAGAGCCCTTGCCCTCTCATAGGCAGAAAGGGACAGCTTTGGAAGCATGTGCAACCTTGTCCCAGGGAGTGCCCTCTTGCCCATTAGCTTTCACTGCCTGTGCTGGGGCTGGATGCTATTACACCTGCACATGGGGCCACCTCAGTGAGGGTGAGCTTCTCTGCCAGAGGGACATGATTTGTGTCATTTCACAAGTAAGTATACTGCTGAGTTTGAATCCACAGTGTTATGGAATGCTCCATGTGTCCAGATTACTTTCTAGGTTTGAGGACTGCCGCTGACCCCTGCTAAAGCCTAAGGGCAATGGTGTCCTTCTCTTTCTGCTGCTTAAGCCCACCTGGACAGGGCATGAAGGCACTGGTCCAGGTTGGTGCTATCCAATGGGATTGACTGATAAGGTGGCCTTCTGCACATCCAGGCAAGCAGGGTGGTGGAGCTAGCTATGCTCCTATGGGCAGTTGCCCAGAAACTCTCCTCCTTCACCCACTCAATCAACCAAACTACAGACACTGGCTCCCTGCCACACTCCATCCCACCACTGAACCAATTATTAAAATAGCTCTATGCTATCAGATTAAATTAGTGTCTTTCCAATCTAGGAAATCACACTCTTGGAGGTGGGGAGGTAGATAAGTGACTCCCTCACAAGGATCCATCCATCCTTTCCCATTGTCCCACCTCCCACCTTCTCCCTCTGGGGCTGAGGGAAAGTTCATAGCGCCAAGTTGGGAGGTTAAGGACAATCACCTCCAGGGGAGCCAACAAACATCTCATAATGACACAAGAATGTATCAGGCTGTCTATCTTCCAGTTAAGGACATGAGTAGGGTCTTGCATTTCCAGCCCACTACTGAACTCTTTTCAGTCTGACTCTCACAGCTGAGAGGAGACTCAGGATGACAAATTCTGCTTGAACCCATCTTCAGTGTGTACAAAAGAGAGTCAAAATGGTGAAGAGTGACCAGACTCACATTTGCAGCAAGGAGAGCTAGCAGTGTCACTTCAGTGCAGTTGTTAGAAACCACAAGAGTTTCTGCCTTGTGCAGTGAGCTGTGTGGTGTGTTCTCAGTATACAGTGAGCTGTGTTGGTTTCTCAGTGATATTCCTGCTCTTTCGCTCTTACTATGATGTCTTTGTCCAGCAAGGAAATAAGAGAAGGCTTTCCAGGTACGTGTTTTAAAGTGTTCTTTGTGTTTCTGCACACATGTTCAGTCCTACTGTGGGGATAATAAAACGTGAATAGAAAATTAACATGATCGTATATGTTTTATTAAAAACAAACAGCAAGATGTAAAGACCCCCTCTCACAAACAGATTTAATTCAGATCCTATAGAGTTGAAAAACTAACCCAGAACTAGCAAGTAAAATCTACTACATTATATTTGATTTTTCTTCCTAGTTGTATAAGCTTCTGAAAATTGCTTCATTAAAAATCAAAAGTCTAATGCTTCTTCTTTCTGGAAAATGATCTCTGCATTCATTTGGCTAATCATACTAGAATTATTTATAAATTATACAAATATACCTGAGACTATGCATAAAACTTAGAGAAAAATATGAATTATGTTTTTAATGTAAAATTTAAGGGGGCAGAAGAGGAAAAATAATTTAATTATGAAAAAAGATATATGTTGGCTTCTAAAAAAATGTTAAAGTATGATATTTAGGAGAAATTGTGAGTGTTTTTTCCCCTGCAGATAATACCTCTGAGGCAGAAGCCATTGATCAGCTCCTGCAAGCTTTTGTGGCTGTGGTGATGAGAGAACTGTATAACAGCCAGGCTCTTTTGAGCATGATCTGTAACACTGTCATCATCTCTAGCTCTCTGCTTTCCTCTTTGTGGTTTTCCTGCCGCCTTGCTTTAAAGCACAAGGTCAAGACTGGAGTTGTTTGGTTACTGTCAGACATTGTGCCAAAAGAAAAATGTGTTACTTTTTTAACTTTTATTTCAAACAGCTGTATTCTTTAAAGTTCATCCTTTTTGCCATCAGCCGTGGTTGCAGACAGCCAGCTGATTGTCAACAGTTTCCTAAGGCATTGATTCATCTCTCAGTGTCTTTTCATTTTTCCATCAAAAGTATTTGTAAGCAAAAAATGTTGACCAGTTCTATTGTGCTCTCTGAAACATTAAAAGAATGGTGGGTATGAAGTCTTATAATGAGCTGTCACGTCCTCTTTTTTCAGCTTTTGACCATAGCTGAGCTCACTGATTAGAATGCAGGTTTTGTACTATCAGATGAATATAGGAAAAAAATTGGAATGCCTGATGTCACAAGCAATTACTGTGAGAAAAAGAGTGAGAAAAATATTAAGGATATTGAATGTAGCTGTCTTTGGAAGAAATCCCTCAAAATCATAACAATACTTTCTTTGAGCTATAAGAGAATTGTGATGCTGTTGCACTGGCAGTGGCATTTTAGATCAAATCAGGAGTGCTATTTAAACCTGAGTCAATAGTTCCCCTTCACTGTACTTGGGTCACCTTATGGAAAGGTTTTTGAGTGCACATACAGGAGTCTTTCTGGATGGCACAGGACCAGGAAATATTTCCTCTGAATTCACCAGTATCTCTGATGGATGTTCAACCTCGGGGCCAACTGGATCTAGTCTGAGGGAAACAGCCTTGAAATGTGAGCAACATGAGTGCCCCACTGCTCAGCACCAATGCTTCTTCTGTGCAGGCCCATTCCAAGGCATTGTAGACACAGCCTGTGACTAAAGATAGGTGACAGGAAATCAGCCAACATTGTAATGTTCATAACTCAGACACCTACAGTGAGCTATTCTATTCTATTCTATTCTATTCTATTCTATTCTATTCTATTCTATTCTATTCTATTCTACTCTACTCTACTCTACTCTATTCTATTCTATTCTATTCTATTCTACTCTACTCTACTCTATTCTATTCTATTCTATTCTATTCTATTCTATTCTATTCTATTCTATTCTATTCTACAGTGGCTCATCACATTCCCTATAAAACCTCAGTGTCTTCCAGTAGCGCATTAGGTAATATGAGTAACATTTGTCAACATTTACACAGAGGATAATCAAGACCTCATTGTTTCCAGGCTCTCCAAAACTGAACAAGAAGCTGTAATAATGAAATTCTCTTATTGATTCAACTGATCAAATTGTATTTGCATTAGTAGCACAGAATAATGGGAGCACATTATAACCAAACAACTGATTGGTAGTGTAATGCTGTTCAGAATATGAATACATTATCCTTTCATGCATTTAATATTTCCATTAATCACTAACTTTGTGCCATCTTCAATTTTGCTAAACAGCCTTCAAGCTGGGAAACTTGAAGCTCTTTAAATCTACTCTTATATTCAGAAATCCACTCAGACTACCTGATAATATGAACTTTTACTTTTGAATTAGACTGAAAATCTACATGAGATAATGCTTACATTGGTATTCTTCTTCCCTGTCTTCTCTTAGGACATTGCTTATTATTTGTTCTCTTAGCAGAGAAACAGGACTTGGCAAATGGAGAATTTCAGCCTTTTCACTCTACAGTGTACTAATGTGTTCTCATTTCCAGACTTAGTTCTGTTGCATCATGAATATTTCTGATGCAAGGAGCCCCATACTTCTCCAGGCATCAAACAAAAGATGAAAACAGCTGCTTCTCTGTCCCAAACTTCCCAGACCTCAGCTGCTACCAGCTACTGAAAGGAAACTATTTTCTTTTTGCACTATCCAATCTCCAAGACATACCTCTAAGAAACAAGACAAAAATATATGAGGCAATGAGATACTCCTAGTACAATATTTTGTAATTAGGCACACTTGCACTTTTGGAAGAACAGATGCTGACATCACGTCAGACAGACACATGCAGCACATAAAATGTGGTGTGTGATCAACAGGTATCAGCAAGGTTAATAGAATTGAAAATGCAAATACAAAGCCCTCCAAAGACCAGCATAGTTCTCCTGAGTGTTACAAGTGCTTAAATCTTGCTGAAGGTAATTGGAGTTGAAGTACCCCTGCATTTTTCAGAAGATCTAAAACATTTATCTCTGGATTAGATTCCTTTTACTAAGGGAAACTGTCCCTCTTTTCTGTTCTTGGTAACTTCTTTGGTTTTGTCCCAGATTTTCTCCCTCTTCACCTTAATGTCTTGAAGACAGGTTTGCACATTTTGCTAAATCAGTGGGCAAGATCAGAACAAAGAATGACAGATCAAACCATATGTCAAAAAATCTGTCCAATTGTCACTACTATAAAAATACATCTATAGCTTTTTGGTTGATGCTTCGCAATAATTTTTTTCAAGGTTACAATTTAGTTTTTTGACAGCAGCAGTCATATATTATATCTTAAAATCCCACTCATGTATTCACAGATATAGTGAGATTCCAAATTGTATCAGTCCATTGAGTTAAGAGCTAACATAAGTTAGCTGCTGACATTGTTGGAATGCATTGTAATTTCCTTCAATATCAGAAAGATCATGAATAAACACAGCCCTAACCCTACGAAATTGCTTAAAATTCTGTGAAACACATTGATTTTGTCTCTGTTCTGGAATGTGTATGCCAGTGCACCCATTAGAGCAGAAGCAAGCCTTGCCAAATAAGCACTAAATGCCTGAAAGAGCCATCCACGATGTCCAGTCCAGCTTCCTCTGGTACTGGTTGACACAGCAATTATGATCAACCTGCAAATTTAACTCAAATTATACACGCTATGGAATATTTATAGAGATTTACTTGTTTGTAGAAGTGTTCCTGAGTTGAATAGAGAAATTTCCATCAGGAAGTCAGAGAACACTGTGTTAAGAAATTCTGTTTCTCTGATATGAGAAGTTTTATTTTTGCCTCCTGCACAGATCACTGAGCTCCTGAGAGTCTTCTTGCATCTGTGCTCAAAATTCTTACTTGTTCTTGCTACCCTCATGTAGAATTTGCTACCAATTGTCAAATCACAAAGTGTATGTGGACGTCAAGGGGACCCCACACATTATTTTTTCTTTTTGAGGGAAGCACCACAGCTTTTACCCATGAGAAAGTCAACACACATCTCCTCTCTCAGTATGTGACAATAATGCAAATTTAGACACTGCTCATAAACAGAGAAGAAAACTCTTTAGCTGTTGTAGAGAGTTCATTTGTGTCACCTACAAATAGGCAAGAATGTGTCATCTGTGCTCCCTTATGTTGTTCAGACGAGACGTAGAGTCTCTTTTTTTCTCCTGTTGCTTGTTTTTACCTTAGTAATATGAAAAACGTAAAGCTGAGGCTGCCCTTGGTTGTTTGGAAACTTCTAAGTTCTCAGGAGTGAACCAGTACTTGTCTGTCTTGCAATTCCCATAGTTTGTCTTTTTCATGTTTAGTCAGACTATGGTCTCAGTCCCACAGTGAGCTGCCTGTGAGCAGATGACTGCTTCTGAATGTAATTCAGGTGGGGAAAGAGCCTGAGAATTGCCTGCTTTCTACCATGTCCCCGAAGATTTGGGGTGTTCCTGTTTCCTTGTCTAGAAGAAAGCAATAACACGGTGACTGGCAATACATTTGGTGTATCCTATCTTATCTACAAATATTCATCAGTTCTGTAACAGAAAGCATTAAAACCAGCAGCTTCTCCAGGAATCAAGCCCAGAGCAATGTAACTGCTTCCAGGACTGGCTCTGGTAAGAGCAAGTAAAAGCTTCATGGCTACATCCATGGTAAAGAAAAGGCCTCCAAGAGTGTAATATTGGCATATGTTGATGCTTATCTTGATAATATATATGTAATTTTGCATTTCCTGATAGAAAAGGTATTGAAGGTGCAACAACTAAGCATGCATTCAAAAATGAAACAAATTATTTTGTGATACCAAGCATCATCACCTGGCATTTCAAACTTGAGTGAAACAAAGGAAATGCTGAGTTGTTAACACAGAGTTTTCGCTCAATAGAGTTCATGAATCCAGTTAAATGGAAATTACAAAGATAAAAAAAAGACTGTTTCAAATAGAAATAAGAAACATTTAATTCTGTCTGAATCTGGTTTAATTTCATGGAGCATTGTTTGTGATAAATTCTGTTTTGTTTCCAGCCATCTACAGAATCATTCATGAAGCACAGGGCAAACAAATTTCAATTTGTTACCTGAGAAGAAAACAAAAAAAAGGGTAAACATAGACAAAATCTCTGTAGTTTTTCACACATTGAAGATAAACAAAATAGGGTGCAATTTCTCCTTTGGCTTCTAAAACCTCTTCAGCTATGTCAATACTGATGGGCACAAGCTTCCATGTCCTGGACTCCCCCAAGCTTCAGGTTAGCCAAATGCAGATCCACAGCTGCAGTTGGATGGGTGGGCAGCTGGACCAACAGGGTCCCAATATCAGCCAACTGTTCTGTTGGTATTTCCAGGTAAGCTGTTACAAAGCTTACCAGTGTTACACAACTGGTAATAATGACTTTTCACTCTGCATCAGATGCTTACTAACTGGCCTCTTGCCTTTGTCAGGTCTGTAACTCAGAAAAGTAAAAACAGCTTTGTGAGGGAGGGAACTATGGCCAAAATTCAGTGAAACATTTCTGAGCATGTCTAAATTGAAGTGCACAACTTAACCTAGTATGCTTCAGGAAAGCATGAGCTTACTCCCTTCACTGCATTGCACTTTTGTGTTCAGCAGATAAAATTTAAGCATGTTGTGCTCCAGCAGGTTATGGTGAAGAAGGATGATAATGTATCTTAACAAAAGATAATTATGCTTACAATGAAGAGAAATGGGAAGACAGTTCTTGCTCCAACATGTGTACTTCAATCTGTTAAAATGTAGTAAAAATAGACCACCTGTTTCCAGGCTGAAGTTCTAGTGAAATTCTCCTCCAATATTTTGACACCTTGTTATTTGCATTTCTCTTGTCCTTTAAAAAACTCACAACTCTGGATATTGAAGCAAGCTAGCAGCAAACTTCTTATGGCTTTTGGCAGCTTGTATTCCAGATGGCCTGGACAAAACCGTAAGATATTATATAAAAGATCCAATTCTAGAAGTTAATGCATGGAGAATATTTCAGGTCATGATATTAAGTTGTTTACCAGGGCATGTGTAGTGTCTCCCTAGGCTGATATCATCAAATGCTAAACTCTTGGTAGGTTTAATCCACATTCATCAACTTTACTGCTTTACTTAGAGCAGCTGTCTTGCTCTCTTAATACATGCTGCTAACCAGATGGTCTCAGAAAACACAACCATATGAAGTCTGATCCCACTTAATTCTTAAACTCTTCGTGCCTTGCACCTTTTTAGTTTTGCATCAAAAAGAGGCATAATTGAGTAGCAGTTGATTCAGTCCACAATTCTGCCCTTGATATCTGTGATTGAGACAAGACAATGGTGTCTCTAATACAGCTTTAAAAACCTGTTTGAAAGGGAGTTCAGCTGGGCCAAATAATAATTTAAAGTATTACAATGTTTTATGTGTTGTTATAGCATAAGAATCCAATGGAGGCTTCTGAGGATCAAAGGACATAAAAGTATTGTTGAGCTTTTCATATAAATGACTGCAATATGATCCTTTTAAAAAAGGGACTTCTATGTCACCTAAATTATTACTTTTCTGAGGGATCTTCCATATCTGGGTAAGGAGGAGTTATGAAAATAAGTGTATAGCTTTTCTCCCTTCAGTGCCCATGTGCTTCTTTATACTAAGAACTAATTAAAAAAGACACAATTCTGTTCAATACACAAATCAAATGTCAGGCCAGGGTACTCCTTGGTCTCAGGACTGAGAGCATCCTTTCATTGGGATCAATCATATTTGCTATTCTGAAGTTGATAGGATAGGCCACACGTTTGCCTGTAATTTGTCAAAAAGCTGTGATAGACAAATGGGTAGTTAGAGGTGAAGGCAAGCAGTAACCAGAAATTCTGCCCTACCTTCCTCTATCACTGCATAGCATCTAATTCCAGGAGACAGCTTCTGGTGGTTTGCAGGTGAATGTCACTTACAGACATGAAACTAATCAAGCTTAAGAAATTCTTCTAGAGTTTGGTTTTGGTTGGTTTTTTTTTTCCCCGCACCTTGGAGATCCTGAGAAGTATTTAAAAGTAAAAATGTGAATTGACAATTTGCAGAGGGAAATATTTGAAGGGAATATTTGGGTTTTTTTCTCCTGTTGATCTGTGATGTGTGCAGTGATTCATGCACAGGTTTGGAAGTGTCAAGAGCTCTTCCACAGATGTCTTTGTTTCTGCAGAAACAAACTTGTAATACAGTTGGCACCCAAGATAACATCTTCCTATACTACTTAAAAAAATAATGGAATCAGGGGCAACATTAGTCATATCCCTGCAGGATTTCTTGTGGAGTAACCTCATTTGCATCAGTGAAGATACTCCTGATTTATGCCAGCAAATGTGATTATAGAATGAGGTCTTTTTGCATTAGTTGAGCATCCTTCCTGCTAGGGCACCAGTTCTGCAAGTGATGTTTTACCTATCCTGGGTTAGATGTACAGTCATCAACTGTCCTACTGGTGCTGCAGCAAGAAGTTTGGGTGGAAATTCAATCTCTCCCACACGAGCTGTGCTGAGGACTGCTGAAATGAGCCTGAACTCTTGGAGTTCAATTCACCAGCTGTTTGTGAGAGGATACTGTGGTGCAGGATCATATAATGTTGCCTCTGGAAAGGGCTGTGTCCAAGGTACCTGGGGTTTATCTTTAGAGCATGGCATTTAGGAGGAGCATCTCACATATATTTCCTTCAGTCTCTTGTGTTTATTCAGTCATTCTTTAGGACTTCTTTCTTTTTGATAAGGGCTGTGTCTGTCCTGTGAAACCACGTTCACTCTTGGACATGCTGTAATCGTGGAGCATCTTCGCCTCACAGCCATTTTGTTGAACATCTTTCTGCTTTTATAGCAAAAACATCAGAAAGCCTCAGCTGCCTGCTTCCCCAGTGGGTAACGTGAGGACACATGTGCATTTGACATTTCAGTCTAATCCAATCTATGTAGGTATGCCTCATCCCCTGTCACAGGGCAGTGAATTCACTAGAGCTGCTTCTGCAGGAGTAAAAGGCCGTGCCTTGTGTGGTTGGAACAGCATGTGGGCAGCCTTGGGGGATAAACATCTACTACAAGTCTCAAGTGCAGATCTGAGGGTTTGTCTTTTGTGTGGGTTGCACCTATAAGAA